CACCGCATAATTGAATTGCTCGTTCGGTCGCGTTCATTGAATGCGTGTTCATTCCGTTCGAAAATTGAGGGGAAAACCCGCGTTCAATGAACGCGCGGTTACATAGTGCTCACTGCTCTCCCCACGCCGCCCACGGGCGTCCTCACCATCGTCAGGTGCATCACTGCCTCCCTGCTCCAAGTCCTCCGGGTCTGTCCACGCCTCTGCCTCCATCTCGTCCGCGGCCTGTGGGTCGGTGGGCGACTTGTACTCGATCTCCTCGTCGTACAACTCGATATGAGATGCAGTACGACCAAACATACTCTCGACCGATGGTAGGTGGTGGACCGTCGAGGCACGCTGCATCTTGCGCGCGTGCCGTCTGATCTCCTCGTCCGCCAATGATCCAGACGGCAAAGTGCCTGATCTGCGCGGTGTTGGGATATCGTCCAACCCCCCCTCAAGATCACGCCATGGCAAGACGAGTCCCCTCCTCCTCGCTCTACACGTCAAGAGCTTCTTGTTTGCACACATTTCCACCATGTCAATCAGCTTCGTGAAGTCTAACCCATTGCGGCGCTTCTCATGGATACGCTCGTGCAGCGCCCTACTCCTCTCCGCAGGAGAGGTGCAGACCCACGTCTACATCGGACGTGTGATGATGGTACAAAGCTCAGGAGCACACCCGCCATGCAGAACCCACCAGTCAGCAATGACCTGTGTCTTGTCCGCCCCCTCGCAGGTATCCTCGTCCCTAGTGTCTGCATCTCCACCCCAATCATATCTCGGACCCTGCGAGTGGAAGTCATACAGCTGTTGACGGACCAATCGGTACCTCTCTCTCCGTCGGTTGAAGCCCGTCTGGGTGTAGATGAATTCCTGTGTCATCTCTGCTACCTTCCTCTCTTGAGGGTTGCGCTCCGGAGACTAGAAGTAAAAAAAATTCCGCCTCTTCGGATTGAAAAGATAAACGACAACATGGGCGGTCTCAAGGGGATGGCATGCAAGACCGTTACAATCCTCCGGCATGCCAACTAGGCACGATCTCGCCAACTCCAACTTCCGAATCTCCTCAACCGATTGGGTCACCATCGGAAGATGCACGAGATCACCAAACCCCCCTTAGGCTGGTCCAACTGCCTCAAGAACTGCACGACAAGGGTGAAGATGTCGATGAGATCATCCATCTCCCCCCAAAACAGCCCGCATCGCACCTGCGTGCGCTACAGGACACTGCCGGACGCATATCTCACGGCCTCGGCCGCGGCCGAGGAGGCCAGCTGCGACCCCGCTGTCGACGTTTTTTGCGGCCATGCCACAAGTAAATGGAGTCGCGCGCCCGAATCGGGGCGCATGAATCGCCTGCGCAAGTTGTCCCCCACCCGAAACACCTAAAATGAAAAAAAAGTGAAGTGTGAGCGTGAGGTCATTAGTACCGATTTCATATGGAAAAAAAAAATAAAAAAAAAAA